AAATCAAATTAATTTACAAAATGCTAATATTTTTATGGTAAATTATGCCGTTTAGAAATTTGCGCATTACAAATCATTTAAATCAGCCGTCGTCAAACTTTTGTGAATTATGGGCAAATATGTACTATGTGAGCATGAATATGGGCCACCTCAGTTTCACACATTACCTATTTACAAAAAAAAAAAAAATTACGTTCCTATATCTACAATCTATGATTGAATTCTCAGAATGATTTTGAAAAATTTTAATAATCGCAATCGAATATATTATTTTTCTTTGGCTACTTGTATGATAGGCTACATTTTGAAGTTTAATACGCCGCATGCTCCCCATGGGTCACACTTTGCGGAAAGCTAATTTAAATGGTTTGCAATTTCGTTTTATTTTTTCTTTACAGAACACCATCGGGATACCACTTTATGTGTATTACTACTAAGTGTGAATAAAAAAGGTTCCGCAAATTTTCCAACTAACAATTACGTAAGTGCTCATAATCCTAGACAAAGAGTTGCATAAAAAGGTTATTGTTTAGAATAGATTATTAATATTGTTATTAGAACAAACGTTTATTCAGTTTTTTTCTTTTAATTTAATTGAAAGCTTCATTTTATACAGTACATACTTTAGTCACTACATTTTCATTAGGTTTAATTTGCACGTCAACTCTTTGTTATAGTTAAATATTTCATTAAAATTAAAGAAAGAAAATGCATATTTGTTGAAAGTGTGCTCAATTTAATATAAGTATAATGTAATGCATTAATTATTAGATCAAGACAACTAGGAAACACCTTTGAAAGCCATGACCGTAATGTGAATTTTATTAAGATAAGCAATTTTTCTCGCAATGTCGTCTCGAAATAAATCTATTTTTGTTTGAACCATGGACGTCACCACCCCAAATAAATATCTTACAGGAATGAGATAGCGCATCATAATAAAATCTAGGAATTTCTTCTTTGCCATGTCCACGTGTAGGTTGCAAAAAACATGATTCTAGAAATAAAAAGAAAATAGTAAGTGTATGATAAAACCAACGTTTTCGTGAGCACATTTCAAAATTTAATAAAATATTTACCATGCGGATATGCTTGAGTAGCCATAATGAACATAAAGACAACCAAAATAAGCCCGCCCTTCATTTTTTTTTAATTTAACAAACTCAAAAAACGTTGACTCTTGTTGATATTTTGAAAATGAAAATTTTACAAATTTTACTTGTTTTATATTATTTCATTAATCGCAAAATTTCAAAGAAATTAATTTAAAACTAAATTAATTATTTTAATGCTAATTTGCATTTTCAAAGCATTTTTGAAATTTTGTCGCCTTCATAAAAGTAGAAAAAAGCGGCTTTTTATTCAAAGTCTTTTTATTTTTTACCGCCATAATTGAAAAATTTTTAATGTTTTGTTAAAGCCCTCGCTTTCGGACGTGCAAGAATATCAGTGCGATTAATGTTTTCGGGAAAAGAGTTGTGGGCGGACAGATTTTACGTTTTTCAAACAGCAAAAAGAAAACAAATTAAGAATATTGATTAATTTTTTGAAAACAAAATTTTTCGGACAGAAGGTTTAATTTTTAATCAGTGAACTGTGGGTTAACAGGAAAAATCTTTATAAGTATGAAAGCTGAACTGAATTGAAGTAGAAGCAGAAAAATATTACAAAACGATAGATAAAGTTGAAACTTAAATAATTGTTGAAATTTTGATAATTATTGCAAAAACAATTTCCACCGGAAACTGTAAACATTCGAACTAAAACGGAATATTTGTGTAAAAAAATCCAGTAAATCAAAAAAATTCTTTGTGATCTTCAAATCACAACTTCCTGTTTCTCAATATCAGTGACGAAAATGCAATTTTAGAAAATAATTCCTTGTTCGAAACATTTAAGATCTATGGACGTCGTCTTTATCGTACGAGTAGCAATATTAATTTTCCACATTTTTTTCAGTAAACACAATGATACACATTTTATTTTATTTCTTCATATTTTATTGACATTTGCAATCATTTTCACATTCTTGTAAAGTTTCAAATCGATTTTCATTGGATCCCTGTTCCTGGCCGCCCCAAGTAAATAAAAGACACTTGTTTAATTTATAATTATAATAATATCTGTCAAAGTCTGCTCTTCCCCATCCTGTTTCGGGTAACAAAAAACAGTATGCTATAAGAAAAAAATAAAAGTTATCGTTTTCATTTTAGCAGTCCAATATTCATAATAAAAATTACATGGTCTCCATATTCCTTCAGTTTTGTTACATAACAGTAAGCACAACAACGAAAATAAAAATAAATTCATTGTAAGTTTTAGGTAGTTTTTACTTAGAAACTTGACTAAATTCACTAGTAACGATAATAAAATGTTAGATTGAAGTACTTGTTGTGTGCCTGCCTAAATTTATAAATTATTTAAAATTCCAACAGCTTTGATCTAGTCGAAATCAAATAATATTAATGCAAGCAGAAAAATTATGTAAAGCAAATTAACATTTTACGGTAATTTAAGGGTGAAATTTGAAAATTTCATTTTATAATAAAAAATAATTCGACATTCATGGTTATTCACAATATTTTCAATTGATAAGAAGCTTTTTTTATGTACAACTCGCTTATTTCACAGACATTAAAACGAGTACCTCAGGGAGTACCCTGGTGCTTAAATAACAAGTGTTCTTAGAAATTATTCTGAAAATAAGTATCATAATATCAGGCATTATAATAATTAGATCTGCAAATTTCCAAAGGAAAATCGTGAGTAGAAGCCATAAAAATGCGGTATAAATTCAATTGACAAATTAATAGATCAAATGAAATGTAAGTCGATTGGTTGGCAGGTTGGTGGACGTAGTCGGTGGAGTAGGTAAGCTACACCTTATTTAGCAGAAGCGTGAAGTTTTACTATGGTGGCCACCAACTTCTCATCAAAGACTAGATTAGAGGTTGCCTATCTCAAAAACTCAGTTTTTTTGAGGAATCTTTTTAGGCTCCTGATTTCATTATTCGATGCCTATTCCAGGTAGAGTCGAAAAATCGCAGAGTGAGTGAAAAAATTTCTCTCTCTTATCCATCATAACCGCATGCTTCTCCAACGTTGAATGACCCGTGTAGATCACGATGGCCCATCTCCTTTGCTCATATCCGGCTTTGGCAGGAAAAAGGCGGAGATGCCTTGGGCCATTTTTTCTTTTACGGACAACGGATGTGGCGAACGTTAATTCTAGGGGCATTAGCCGGTCTCTGAAAAGTTGGGGTTGGTTCTCTTGAGGACAGGGGATTTTGTGGATCTGACGGTATCGCAACATATTGCCTTATGTGTTTTATACGGTAGCCGCGTGGAACTAACCTAATCGAACCTAATTTCAATTATTATTAAACACCATATTTAGGATGAATTTAGTTTTAATTTCAATTGGAATTTTTAACGCTATTCAATTTAAGAAAACTGCTTTAAAAAAATTATAGATATGATAGTGTCTGGGAAAAAAACTTTCTAGAAAACCTTTAAATTTAAATTTTTTATTTCATTTTCTAAAAACTCTAGTTTAATATGAAATTTTTGTATAACATAGTTTTGAAACATTTCAAATTAATTTTAAAAAACTTCAAATATCTTGATAAAATAATATTATAATTACCCTAGCTGGTTTTGCAAGGTAAAAATAATTCAAATTCCCAGATTTAGTTCAAATGGTAAAATGTTCGCTTCTTCGAATGCAATACAACGGTAAATATTTTTAATATGCCAAAAAAACAAAGAGTACATGTGAAAATTTAAAATGAAATGAGGACAGCAAGGAAAAGGATATTAAATTATTATTTGGAATATACCGGTGTGCTGATTTTGAGCTTTTTGTTTTATATTGTGTTTAATATTAAACACGATTTATTTTTTTGTCGTTTGTTTTTCAATAAAATACAAACGAAAAACACATGTAATTTACGTTTGGTTACGTTTAATCAGAAAAATTTCATTTATTGTACACATTTCACGGCTTTATCGCGATTCACTCTCTCTCTCTCTTTCTCTCGGGTGTACGTGATTTACCACAATATTAAATTAAAAAAGGTATGGATAAAGAATAAAAATATTTTTTTCCTATTGAAACAAAAACTGCTTTGTTTTATTTTCCTGTTTTGAACAAAATTGAAATTTGAATTAAATTAATTTTAGAAATATATTATTAAAAAAAGTGTAATCGGTAAAAAAAGCAATCGGGAAAAAATGGTAGGTATTAGCAATAAATTGGTGACTAAAAAATATTTACCTACAAAAAAAAAATTTGAATTGTCTAAAGTTCGTAATTTCCTTTCAATGAAATTTATATTAGTACAGGTAAGTACAATAAATAAAATTCAATTTTGACCGGAATTTGGAAAGGATATTATTTGTTATAGGTTTTTTTTTCAATTTCCTTGTATTTAGTGAGTTTTAATAAATACTGTTATTTGTACACGTTAATGTTACTTAGGTTTACAAAAAAATAGAATAGAAAAAAACCTTTAGAAAAAAGAGTAGAAGAACTAACTTAAAATAACATCACCAGTAAATTAATCTGTTCAACTTGAAATCTTTGCTAAACTTTTTCAATATTTTTAAAACCCATCAGGCACAAGGCATTCACCCGACTGGAGGGAATTAGAAACTCGAATCTATGGATCTTAAAGAATATCTCATCGAATGAACTAAACTTTTTTAACGGAAATGTAGATTAGAACCCGAGTTTCGATTCTAACTTACAAAATTTTTACAAAAGAAGTATGTTCAAGTGTTCCTTCTAAAACACTGTGCAAAACTAGTGTTCCTTCTAAAACACAAAAATATATTAACAACATATACACAACTCAAAAACTCAAGTAAAAAGCAGGAGGGGTTTATCGAAACAAATCAGAGTTGATATTGGCGTTCTCAAGAGATCAGCCTTAAATCCACTTCTTGTCATCACTACTTTGGATTATAACAGCAGATATATCAAAAATTCTATATCTTAGACAATGATATACGCCGATGATATTGTAATTCTCGCCAAATCTATAGAGGAGTTGCAAACTAAAATAGATTAGTGGGCCAACGCTCTTGAAGGTAATGGTTTAAAAATAAGTCGTACGAAAACTGAAAACCTTCCAAGTACGTACCTTCTAAAAATAAAATGTGCATAGGTTCTATAAATACAATTAAAATAAAAAGCGAACCAATACCGATAACGAATGCTCTCAAATATCTTGATTCAACCATATCGCCAAACGGGAAAATCGATGGGGTCATTACTGGTTGTGTTAATGCTGGCTGGATGAAGTGGAGATCGGTTACACGTATCTTGTGTAATAAGAAATTCCCGATTAAATTAAAAGGTAAAATCTACAAAAGAGCGACCAGACCAGCTCTTATATATGGGACGGAGTGCTGGGTGGCAAATAAAACACATGAACAAACAGATGTACCTTCAAGGTTTCAGACATTGAAGAAAAACTATTAGAAAAGCAACTGAGATGGTACGGTTATGCCATGCGTCAAGACGAGGTGTACGTTGTTCGAAAGACCCTTGACTTTCCAATACCTAATAGAAGGCCAGGAAGACCATCAGCAATATGGCTAGGAACAGTCAATAGAAATATGAAAAAGTAGGAGTGAACGCAACCACAACCCAATGCAGGTCTTTTTGGCGGCTCAGATCAAGGAGGACAAGACAATTCAGAAGCCTTTCAAGTTTTATTAATTAAGTATTTTCATGAGTTTCTTGATGTCAAACACGAAATTTAAACAATTTTTTTTGCTACAATTTTGCTGTATTTCAATAAAATTTTATAATGAGAATATTTAAACCACTCAAATTGAAAATTAATAGTTTACAAAAACTTTCGGGATTTGTTTCTATCAAAAACAATTTGTGCTTAACCAAATATTTTTTATGCGGAAACTTTAAATATAACACATTATAGATGAGCGATAAAAAGTTTTTAAATTAATGTCGTTAGGAAAAGGGTTTTCTTTCTATATCAAAAGTTTCCTATCAAGTATACAATCAAAATATTTTACCTTTACGTAGATAATATTTGATTTTAAAAGTATAAAACACAAAAATTTTAAGATTTTCCTTCTGGTGGAATATTTTGGCGTCATGTTGGCATTTACTAAGAACCGTCATAAAACTTTAATTACAAATTAACTTTTCCTTTTAATTTTATAATTGGAATTCACTTAATATTTTAATGTACACAGAAAGAAAAACTTTTCAAAAATCACTATATAAAAAATTTCTCATTTAATTAAAGCACTTTTAAAATAAAGATAAACTGAATGGGTTAAGGAAACAAGTTCAATTTTTTAAGGAAAAATTCGGGTTTTCTATTAAATTTTAATTTTGCCATAACAATGATTAAAATCTATGGCAAAAAATATTTTGAGAGATTTTTCAAAAAAAATTTTTTCAAATACTTTAAACGCATTTTCTGTCTAAACTTGAAGAGATATAGCGATCCTTAATTACTAATAGTTTGCCGAATATATGGATAAGCTGTATCAAAGTAATTTATAAAGATATTAAAAAAAAATGTTTTGAAAACTTCACTAGTATGGGTTTATTCCATTAGCTTTTGCTTTTCGTTCAGGTATTTTGTAAAACTTAAGCATTGTGCACAGATAACTTTCTCCGAATTGTTTTTATATTCCTTACATCTATATCCACATACAACTCATTACACATTTAATGAAAACCGAAAATTAGTTCAAGTTTCGACCTAGATATTTTACTAAACAAAAGTACATTGTATGAGTTTCCTATAAAAAATATTAATAACAACTATAATTACCCATTCCCCCCCCCCCCCCCCCCCGTTCTAACATAATATTTATAATTAATAAATTCTTATTCATTTTAAACCAAAAACCGGAAATTGAAAAATTTATTTTTTTTTAGAAACAAAGATATTATGTTTCATCATGAAAATTGACCACATTAAATCAGAATAATTTTATACGATTATCAAGCAAAATAAAAATTAATTTACAAAAAAAAAAAAAAGAAAATTATATAGAGAAAACTTACCAAAAGGATACCAGAAATGAAAATGAAGAAATCACTAATGAATCTGGAACCAGACAAATTCACATGAATAATGACATTACGTTCTATTTTATTTTTTTCCGGAATTTTATTTTTTATGTTTTACTAAATTAAATTTGCATATTTTTTCCCGCAAAAAAAAGAAAAAGTTTTTCAGACAAAATGTGAGAATGTATGTATGTGTTCTTATGCAAGTTTTTTTTAAACTTTTTAATTATTTCATTGAATTTATATAAAATTGAGGAGCATGAAATGCTAAACTCATTTATAATGTGTGATTGTTAATCGATATAACATTTCATTCACTTATATAATAAAACTTAGAAAATTTCTAATGAGAATCTTGGAATCTTAAACAATTTCTTAGAAAATAAGTACTTAACTCATATAATACATTAAAAAAGCTGAACAGGCCCTGTTCGGGCGCCTTGCATAGATAACTGTCTAAAATTTTTGTTACCTAACATCAATTTGACTCTATCAAACTTTCTACTCTATACGGAATAATGTCCCATGCATAATGTTTGCTTCTACTAAGCATAATTTAATTTACTAACAATTGGAAATAATTTACCGGCAGTTAGTTGAATATAAATTTGCTTTTGACATTTTAGATTAACAGTTACTAGCGCCAAAAGTCATTGTTTTATAGCTATTAAAAATTATTTCCAATAAACCACTTTTCTACATTATCTGATCTTTGATGAAATCTTATACAATTCAATTTTGATAAACCTATAGTTGCATGGCTCGTTATTTTCCTTGCATGTTTTTTGCCTTCTGCAAATGAAGTTTATAATGCAGCACGTTTCTTTTTTGTCATTGTTTCATTATTCATCATTAAGTTGTTTTATACAGGAGAAATTTTATTCTTCCTTATTATCATTGTTTGGTATAAAAAAAAATATATAAATTAGAATTTTTAAATAGTTTCAACAACACAACTCTTATAGGATTTCTAAAATAAAGGACTGGAAAAAATTAGGATAAATATATAGTTTACATAGTTTTGCACAATTAAAATTGCAATTTATAAAAGAAGTTAAAACTGATTTTTTTTTCAAAAGTACGTTTCCAGTTCTCCTGTTGTAAAGAACATCTTAAGCTTAATTTATAGAAAATCCCAAATTTCGTTGATAAGTTCCTCTTAATGGTTATCACTTTGTGTTGAGAGCCTTTTAAATTCTCAGAAGTATCAAAAATTGCAAAGCATTTGCATTCTGCCTTCCCGTTTACAAAAGTTCTGTTGATAATCGGTTTTTCTTCGGAACTCCCATTAAAAATTTTTTAGTTTAAAATTTTGTCCAGTTTAATGATATTTAAAGAGAAGACATTCTCTGTTCTAAATGGTGTTCTGTTACTGTTGTAATATACGATCGACTTTAATGTTTATGCGGTTTAAATATAACTCATATTCGGCCAACTTCATTTTACAAATTTTATAAGTACATTTTTGCCACTGTCATATGGAATTAATATGTATTAATCGATTATAATAGTCAAAATTTAGTTAACAAGCTCACTCAATATTATCTCAAAACAACATTTTGCTTATCCATGCATTTTAATTTTCTTATGAAGCTTGTAGAAGCATCAACCCTGTTAATATTCTTACACATATTGTTGTAATTCTAATAATACCTCATACAATGTATACAGAAGTAGTCATCGTAATGGCAAGAACTTTACAAATTAAAAAAACAAAAAATTTATCTAATTATAAAGGATTTGTAAACAGAGAAAATAAACTTAAACATTCCACTAAGGATTTAAATAGTACAAAAATATTTTTAAAAGGATATTAGAGTAAAATGTCACATTTAGGTTAAAATAATCGTACCAAATCTGGGCAAAATTATAAACAAGACAAAATAATTTGAAAAATATACAATTAGGAATATAAACTTAGATTATTATTACTACTCTCTGTACTTATTAAGAATATTATACAAAATTAAATGGACTAGAATAATTGAATTTGAAATGGAAAACTATAGTTAAGTTTTTTTTTTTTTTTGATAGAAGTTTTGCCGTAATATTACCATTATTTGCATTGATTTGCATAATGTATGTAAGTATATAAAATATTATTGTAATAGTAGTGTTAATTTGTTAGATTTCATGTGTACTGGAAGTTTTAAAAAATTCTTGAATTGGCAAGAAAAGTAAAATTTTAATTGATGGTGGAAGTTTTCATACAATTTGTATATAATTAATTACCGTCTATTAGGTTTTTGATGCCAAATTTCAATATTTCCAAGAAAACTCATTCTATGATATTGTTGTCTCTGCCGCTTTCTTTTCTGCCACTCCTTTGTTTTACAAGAGAATGTATGTAATAGAAAAATCCTCCTTTTTCCGTTTTTTTTTTTGTCCTGTTCAGATATACAAGAAAATATCCATTACGAAATGTCTCCCAAGTCCCGATAATAAGAGTGGCCGACCCTTAAAATGTCGCTGCATAACATCAACGCCAAAGCGCTTTCGATATTATTTCACATCGAAAACATCTGCTGACATATTCTTCACGACAATGTTGTCGATTAAATCTTAGTTAAACCTTTTAAAATGCGCACAAATCGCTCACCATGTAGGTTATGTAGCTTTGTATAAGAAATACTCGAATGGAATGATGTCAGACTTTCGAAAACTTTTTCTATTATATCGTAGTTGCCCATTTTTGGTTATTTTTAGCAGGTATTTGGTAATGAATTTTTCGAGTGAATTTTTAAATGAATTTCATCTCTCCCCTGAATAAATTTATTTACCGATTTTTATCTTTGTCTCATTTTTCAATAATATCGTTTAATATCGCTGCTTATATTTGTTTTCAGCTGTAACAAATACAGAGTAGCATTATCGAAAAATGAATACAAGATATTCCTTATTCTATATCACGTCATTCCTGCTAGACCCCTGTGACCAATTCCTATCAGCTTCTCTTTAAATTAAATTTTATTAAGTATTTGTACCTTCCCTACAAAACCTTGCAATACAAAATAATTGCAAATTTCATTAAAGTAAAAGGAATAAATATAAAATATTTTAAAATTATGGTAAAATTCATTCCAGCATTAAGAAACCATATTTCATTTTATTTAAAATATGCTGCTATTCACAAAATTCTCAATGAAAATAGAGAAATTTCTATAAGAAGAGTAGAGAAAAGTTCATGATTTCAATTGATGAATGAGAAATAAAGGATAAAATATTTCATTTTCTTTATTATTGGCGGTTCTTTTCCGATTTCGTATCACTTTATTGATGAAAGAATAATATTGATGCATGACGATACTTCTGATCAAAGGAGTACATTTAAAATCGTACATTATTTTAAAAAAAAAATAATAAATATTGTAAATTCATTTCTCTTAAATTAATGTTCATTAATGATGAATACTCGTATCTATATTTGATATGAATGTCTGCTACATTTTCAATCTTTTTATTTCTTCATCATCATTTGTGAGTCATTTTTCAACATCAGAAAAATATACCATTTCCATTATCAATGCCGTCATTTCTTTCATGTATACGTGTTCAGCTATGCTCTGCCATATTT